ACTCAGGTATCCTGGGTCCTTCCAGACTATTCAGGGAGGTTCGGGGCCAGTTGGTAGTGGCTGTGCTGTATTATTATATGTTGGTATCTCTCTATTTCCAAGTCCAGTTGCCTGGACTTCCTTCTTGGCTTACAAGGTCTATAAGGCTACAGTTTCTTTTTCTGTTTTGCGGCAGGTCACTTCCAGCCGAGTCAAATCCTTTCTGCGGGAGCGTTCACATTCATTGTCTCTTGGTCTTACTCTCCCGTGTGGCCCAGCCTTTGATGCATGTATCTCCCAGGTGGCTTTCTAATCCTCAGGATGCAGCCAAGTTCAGGAGGCTGGAAGGCTCCCACCTCTGGAGGGGCCTATGCAAATGCCTTTTGTCAGCCTGGGGTTTGAATCACCTGAGGGCTCGTTATTTCATTCCTGGTTTATTTTGCACTGGGCTCCTTACTGCCAACTTCTAGGCATTTGAAGGCTCTAAAAAGTGAAAAATTAAAATTCAGTCCATTAACTGCACTGATTGCTAATTGCTTTGGTGGAAGGTTTTGTGGGGAAGGCACTGGTGATCAAAGGTAGTTTGAATAATTACCCCTGATTTTTCTCATTCCTACTCTCTTTTTGACTCCGTTCGACTGATTATTGCCAACACCAGACAGGAAGAGAGGAGTCCAGGGAAAGCCTGGTGTGGAAGATCCAAGGTAGGCGTACGACTGTACCACCTGTGCACGGGCCACACAGCCACCTGTGTGGAGAGGACAGAGAGAGTTAGGACAATTGCCCATTACGAGGGAACTAGACTTGTCATCCTGACTTATGTGGGATCCCCAGGCAGCCCCTTTCCACTCATTTCCTCTCACCTGTCCCTTTTGTTCTGTGAAACAGGACTTTTGTTCATTTCAGTGCCCTAAAGAGGCTGAAATGTTGGTCCAAATAAATCACAGTCCTGTGTGAATCTGAAAACCAAGGGCAAATGTCCTTGGCGATTTCCCACCCACTGCACGGCTCTCCTCGTTTCTTTCCCAAGCCCATTTTTGCCAAGCCTGTTTGCTGGCCTCATCCATCTGTGATTTGAGATCCTGAAAGAACCAAGATCTTGTGACTTGGCAGGGAGAGCCACCCGCCCTGTGGACTCACCCACCATGTGGACCTGCTGCGCTTCAGGGAAAACAAAATGTGAAGTGAGCAGTTTAGCTTGGACTGAATCTAGAGGCAAATCAGTAACTTTACACTGAGATACTCTCTCCATTGTGTTCTCAGGAAAATGAAGTGAATCACCAGAGCAAAGAATGTGTTCTCTGGTGCTGCACCAATAATAAAGCCTAATGTTTTGAATTAGAAGAGGGAGAGAGAGTAACTGAGAAACCTTTGGCTGGTCACTTCGTTGCTCCTTTGCCTCCCCTGCCCTCCCTCAGTAGACTTGGATGAGAGCTCTCTTCCCCAGCCTGGTTTCTCCTGCACTCCATCCTGCACTGAAATGACAAGGCCATGTTAGACATGGAAATTACTGCAGAGCGACAAATCCAAGATTATTACTTCACTGAAGGCTCCAGGAAGTGGAGATGAGTTGTGAGAGCATAAGGTTCCAACTCAACCCAAATGTGTTTTTCTTGCCCCATTTGTTAATTAGTAAATCAGAACCAAATGAAAAATACAAGTAAGTGCATGCCACAAATCTGTCACACTTGACTGTTTCCCAGCTTAGTTCTGTCTTTCTCACTTTATACTGCCCGTCGTCATCATCCAGACATAAGAGCACCCCAAAGCACTTTGATGGATTGGAGTCAATTTCAGTCTTCTGGATAAAACTGCCCAAGGAATTATGTTGTTCACCTGAGATTATTCGGTTAACTCAGAAGTTACGTGATTTGTTTATTTGTTTAATAGTAGGAGCAGGAAGATGGGAGTTCTAAGGCAGTATGTTTCCCATTCTTATAAGCTTTTTGTTGGGTTTTTGGTGTTTGCTGTTATTCTGTTTTGCTTTTCAATTCATACACGCAAATGCTTAATCTCGATGAGTGTTGTTAACTTAGGAAGCACTGCCTGTAAACACTTCGAACCAGGCAGGGCTAAATATACTAGTAGAGTCATTGCTCAAAAGAGACCACGAGGGCTTGTTGCCCCAGAAAAGGAAAGATATTGTCTAAGAACAGTCCAGAGAGAAGCATTTTGTTGTGTTTTTGCAAGGATGTGGGGATCCAAGTTTTGCCTATTAAAGGAAAGGAATGGCCCTTTCCTATGTTTGTGTGTTCGTGGCCCAGGGCTGTGCTGCGGAGAGGTCGTGCCTCCCGCGGTGGCGGTGTCCAGTCTCTCGAACTGCGGGGCTCCTGCCCACGCCTCCACAGCTGTGATCACATCTTGGTTTAGAACTGCAGGTCTCAGTTTGCCCAAGAAAGGGTCACGTGTCTGTCCTTTGCTGAGGCCAGGCCAGGCCCGCCACTGCTTGAGAAGTGTGGCCCCCTCACTTAGGCATTCAGCAAACAAGTCCTGGGCACCACTTCATGTCAGGCACTGTTTTAGGCACTTGTGGCGCATAAGGAAACAAGACAAAATGTCCTGCTCTGATGGGGTGTATTTTCTAGGGGAGTTCCAGCCTCAGCAATAACACCACCTGCATTTTCTTTTTCTGTGGCCACCGGTGTGCTGCTGAGCTGAGGAGGGAGGGCCAGGTGCAGATGTCCCTGAGGAGGGATGAGTGCTGGCCCTGCCTCTCCAGTGGTCAGGCCACCCTGGACCAATCACGTGGAGGAGAGGTTGGCAGAGATCATGAGAAAGGACTCGCCCCATGTCCCGTGTTTGGCATGCTCGCTTCTGTGCCGAAAATAATAACAGGTCATCTGATGCAGTGTAACTTGATAGGAATATGAAACCCCGGTAACGCTGGGAACCAAAGCAGGGAGTTGGCCTGTCAGTTACTTTTAAGTTTTAGAACCTGAATGTTTCATTAAACCAAATAGCTCCATTGTCATGGTCAAAAGACCACTGTGGAGAAAGGCAGGATTTAGTGTTTATTTAAGCTGCCACCCAACGAGAGAAACTGTTGCCTAACATAGTTCAATCCCCAATTATTTAAGGACTGATTTTTCAGTTTGTGGGTTTTTTCATGCTCTTGCTCTCGCTCTCTCTGTGTCTCTGCAGAAGTTTTGATGGAAGCAGTAGGATTTATTGGCAGGTAAGGGTGTATATGAAGGAAATCCCTGATGGTAGTGGTCTTGCAAGTGATGCTCTGAATAAAAAGATGCATCGTCTGACACTTTGTAGCCCTAGCGGTGTTCACAGAGCCTTTACATGAGGCTGGTCTCCAAATCAGTAAACACAGGCAGAATCCATAATAAACGGTATTGCTATCACATTCCGACACATGATGAAGTAATATTGCCTTTGTTTCCAGATGTCATGTCCACTCTGTAGATGATGTAAGAGACCGCGAACAGTTAAGTAACTTGACGGGGCTGAAAGAGCCCTTGCTGCCTATGACCTCACATCCTCAGCCTATTGCTCCTGCGCTCTTTCCTGCTTACTAGACTCCTGACTTTCAAAAGAGGGAACAATAGCCATTTGATTAGGGTTCCTCTCTTTTCAGCGTTCCCAGGATTTCTCCTGGCAAGAAGCTATCGCTCATCAGTACTTGATTTCTATTCTCTCTCGTCACCCTCCCTACTGTGTCGACCTCGGAGGTATCCTTTTCCCCTTTTGACTTTTGGTCTACAGCATCTGTCCATTTCTCCTTCTGGAGGTCTCTTCTGCAATTCCCCTGGGTTAGCCTTGTTTATAATCGGACTCAGCAAACATTTATTGCAAACCTACTATGTGCCAGAGCCTGTCCTGGGCACGTTCAACACTCATTCATTCTCCAGCCTCTTTGTGTTCAGATGTCTTGCATAGCCTGGCCTTGAGGAGGGGGCTTAGCTGATCGCCCTATGTTTAAGACAGGCTATGATTAAACTCTGATGGATAATTATCATTCTCTCTCACAGTAACTCTGGGGAATCAGAGGCTGAGAAGGAGAGACAAAGAAAAACAAAAGAGAATGAATGAGATATACAGGGTGGAGCAAAAGTAGGTTTACAGTTGTGACTGTGAAACAAAGTTTATTATTGTATTATTATTATTTATTAATTATTATATTAGTAGAGGCCCGATGCACGAAATTTATGCAAGAGTAGGCTTTCCTTCCCCTGGCTGCCGGCACCGGCTTCCCTCTGGCACCCGGGACCCGGGCTTCCCTCGGAGCCCCGGCTTCATCTGGAAGGTCATCTGGAAGGATGTCCAGTCTAATTAGCATATGATGCTTTTATTTTTATAGATTTTTTCATATGAGTAAGTGTAAACTTTTGCCGCACCTTGTATACTCAGATAAATTGAAAACAAGCATTTGAATACATGTACATTCATGATGATAGAAGCACTATTCATAACAGCCAAATGGTGAAAACAGTCTAAATGTCCATCAGTGGATGAATGGATAAACAAAATGTGGTGTGTACATACAATAGAATATCACATAGCCATAAATAGATATGAAGTACTGATACATGCTAGCACTAATGATGAACCTTGAAAACATGCTAAGTGAACGAAACAAGTTACAAAGGATTGTATGAATCCATTCATATGAGATATCCTCAATATGCAAATCCGTAGAGATGGATTGTGGGTTTCCAGGACCTGGGGGGATGAGAGAATGGGGAAATACTGTTTAATGGGTGTGCAGTTTTCTTTTCAAGTGAGGGAAATACTTTAGAACCAGATAGAGGTGGTGGTTTCACAATATTGTGTATGTACTAAATACCACTAAATTGTTCACTATAAAATGGTTAATTTTAATATGTAAATGTCACTTCACCTTAATAAAAAAGAATAAAAGAGAGAGTCAGAGGTCTGTTTCTCTAAATTAAAGATGGGATTTAAAAATTTATTTCATCTTTCTTGTATGTGATAACCTTGTGATATGGCTTGAGTATAATTGAAGTCATTTGAGCATATTAATTTCTTTACTCTGATTTTTAAAATTCAACATGCTTGGGGTCTGCATCCTGAACTCAGAGTGCAAAGCCATCTGTAATTGGTATTCTGGGCCTGTAGTGCTGCTGCTTCAGAACTGGGGTCTGTACACGGGCTTCATCCTGGAGGTGAAGGAGGTTAAACGCCTTTTAAAGGGCAAGGAGAGTATCTCAGTAAGGCAAAGGCCTGAGGTCTTGGGGGATGTGGTTGGAAAAACAGCAGTTTCATGTCTCCCAAGAGTATCATTCAAGGTGGGGAAAGGTAAGGAATGAGGCTGGAAGGTGATTGGGGGAAGAAGTTTGGAGGCTCTCAGACAAGTTACAAGGTCAGATTTGTAATGGTGCTACTAGCTGCAGAATGGAGAATGGATGGACAAGAGGCAAAACTGGAGGCAGCAGGACTAGGCTTTGCACAAGGGCATTGGTCGTGGAGGGGCAGGACCGGGTGGGTTAGAGAACTTTTTAGAACAGAGCTATCCAATAGAATGTTCTCTAATGATGGAAGTCTAAATGATGTATCTATATAGTACCCGCCAGTCATATGTGGCTCCTGAATACTTCAAATGTGGCTAGTGAGCCTGAGGAACTGAACTTTCATTTTTTATCAGTTTCTATTTAAATAATTGCACGTGGCTAGTGACTATTGTGTTGGACAGTGCAGTTCTGGAAGGCACAGTCAACAGGAGTTGGCGATTAATTGTCCAGTCTGGAGTGACCAGATGGGCAGAGTTGTAGTTACAGGGGCAAGTCGTTAAGGGAGAGGTGGTGAGTTCTATTTTATACATGTGGCTTCAAAAACATGAGCGGCATCTGGATGAAGAGCTCTACCCAGCAGTAAGAAAAACACATCCCTTAAGGAGAGCAATGAGCTGAGTGTGGAATTGTGAAAGGCTGATGCATAAAAATATAGTTTGAATTCATAAAAGTGAGTGGCAAGGAAAGCCCCTTAACTGCTTTTGGACTCAAATTCCATTGCTATGAGAATGGTAATATTTGCTTTACCTATCTTCTGGGACTACTCTGAGAAACAGATGAAAATGTTTGTAAACTCTTCAAACATGAGGTGGGTTTTATAATATCTTTAGGAGTTAAGAGGAACGTGCTCCAAATGTTATTTTCTAAACACACATGATAAAATAAAGCCTTCAAATTCTGGAAGGATTGTAGACCAGATCATCTGTAAGGCCCTCCTGCTGACCTATGACTAGATCCAGGATAAACAGGAGCAAGTATGTCTACAGCATGAATGTCAGGGACTCGGGGCCATCTCTGAGGACTTCCCTGGGCGTGCGACTTGAGCAAACAAACATAAAAGCCAGGTTTCTGTGAGTGCAAATACCAACACGACTGCAGATCACGAGACCAACTCCAGGTCCAGGCCTGTGGGCAAGCTGCTCCAGAGGTTCCCGAATTAAGCCAGGGTCCTCAACGGGACATAAGTGGTTCCAGGTTGGTCGTGTTCCTCACAAAAGCAAACATACATCTTTTGAGGGGAGAAAAGCAACACCAATTTAAACATCCAAGATTATTTTCAATCAAAAATTACTTTAAAATCTCCAAACCCACAAGGAAATAAATAAACCACCAAAATGAAAGCCATCAGAGAGATGGGATGGAAATTATGCAGATTAAGTTCCCCAAGGATTTTACATATTAAGAAGCAGACACCAAGTAAGAGAAAATGTAAGACAACTACATAGGAAATGCACAAAGAATAAAGTGACCAAGTGGCCACACAGCAACAACAAATGGAGCTATTGGAATTTTTTTTAAAGTCACCAAAATGACAAACTAATAGATGGCTCTTAAAACATGCCTTCCAGCTGAAGAAGGAATTGGTGAACTTGTCCATAGACCTAAATAAACTGCCCAGCCAAGAGACAAAGAGATCAATGATATAAAAAAGCAGTTAAGAAAGACATGGAGCCGAAACCGGTTTGGCTCAGTGGATAGAGTGTCGGCCTGCGGACTGAGGGGTCCTGGGTTCAATTCCTGTCAAGGGCATGTACCTTGGTTGCGGGCATATCCCCAGTGGGGGATGTGCGGGAGGCAGCTGATCGATGTTTCTGGCTCTCTATCTCTCTCCCTTCCTCTCTATAAAAAAATCAATAAAATATATTTTTAAAAAAAAAGAGAGAGACATGGAAATTAGAACAAGAAAGTCTAATACTCATCTAATTGTCATTCTTGAAGGACACACTAAAGAGAATGGAGAAGAGGCCCTCATTGATGAACTAATGACTCAGAATTTTCCAGAACTGATGAAAGATAGGAATCCACAGATTCACGAAGTACCATGTAATCTGGGCAGACTGAATAAAAAGAAGCACACAGGGAAGCTCCAGCACACCAAGGACCGAGGCATTATACAATCAATGAGAGGCACAGGGTCATCTACAGAGAAATGGGTAGTCTGGGATAACGAATATATTCTCTCAGTCAGGGAGGGCATTCTGCCCATTGTTGCTCTCCTGTTGGAATCAGACTGTAGGTGAGTCTATATTTCTCTCTTTGGGCTGTCCTACCTATGAGTTTTGAATGAAGATGTTAAACTTTTTCTTCATTGCACATTGTATATATTGATTTTCACTAAATGTGGTGGGACTGCTTCTTTGTAACAGTCGTATAGGTAGGCACAAATGTGGTTATTTGATGTTAATGAAACTCTGTCAAGGCTGTAGTTACTCCGTTTCAGTCTTTCCTCAAGACACGTTTATTAAGGTCCTGAGTGTACCCTCTTAGCTGAGGCCTATGAATTATTTCCATTGTCGGACATGTATGGTTGTAGCTATTGAGCTTCTTCCCAACCTGACTGATGTTAACACCTGTGTTTGGGTGTCAGAATGGTTCTAAAATGAGTTTTTAAAAATAAAAAAAATGACTTGATTAACCCTTATTATTAACGAGATACATTGTCACTTATTGTTGTCCTAAAGCTCTTTATAAGGTAGGAGCTGGGTCTAGTTTGAAAAGCCATTTGGATAAAAGGGTAGGCCCAAGGAGTGGCTTTGCACAGTGTATCTGAATTGTGGTGGAGGTTATAAGAATCTATACATGTGATAAAATGTCATAGAATTATATACACACATACCAAAAAGCATGTAAAAAATGGTGAAAGCAGAGTATGGTGTGTGGTTAAAGTATAATGCCAGTGTTCTTAGGGTTATATAATATGTTACATGGGCTCTCTCTATTTTTTAATCCATTCTACTATGTTTTGAAGCTACCTGTGGAACTGTATAATTATTTTAAATAAAAAATAAAGTTTAGAAAAATGTCACTTGGAGCATGGCAGCCAGGAAAATAGATTCTTCTTGATATTTGTGATTTTTATAGGACATGAATATAAGTATTTAGAAACATTTGGTGAATCCTGGAGGGTAGTCTGTCATCTCCCTGTGTTTAAAAATTGAGTTGGAGAGTTCAATTGAGTATCTCATATACAATTTAGTGGTGTATGCTTGCAACATAAAGAGGCTGCCATGGGTACAGCCCTTGGAAGGCTAGCCAGAACCCTTCTTGTTGCCTAATAGTAAATAAACGTGTGCCATGGCATGAACACTTGTTTACAGTAGCTGATGGAATGGCAATTAAAAGAAAGAGTTTCAAGTTTTTCAACTTTGATGTGTAACTATAAGGAGAAGCATGAAGCATTTGGAAAATGTAGAATTTGAATTAAATATTGAATGAGTCCAGTTAGTGAAAAATAATGAATATGTGACTACTCTTAAATGTATTAAATAGAGAGATTATTCTATTCTTTTTCTTCCCTATCTCCTCTCTCTTTTCTATTTTATATTTGCAGTTAAAATAGATGGTATCTTTATTTTTCTCTAGACAACTGTAATTGAAATAATTCAGACTTTGTGGGATGATATTCAGAAAATATCTCTATTAAAATATCTTTATTGCCATGGACACAGACAATAGGGTGCTAAAGGCCTGGAACGGGGGGAGGAGGGGGTTGGAGGTGGTCAATGGGGGGAAAAAAGAGGGCATATGTAATAAAGATTTTTAAAAAATATATCTTTATTACAATAAAATTAAACAATAGTGAGAGAGAGAAAAAAGAAAATTACCTCCAATAAGATGAATCAAGAAAAAAGGAATCCACAAGTAAAAATATTAGAATTAGCCCTGGCCTATGTTGCTCAGTGGTTAGAGGATTGGCCTGCACACTGAAGGGTCATGAGTTCGATTCCCAGTCAAGGACACGTACCTGGGTTGCAAGTTCCTTCCCTTCCCCTCAGTTGGGGTCTCTCTCTCTCTCTCTCTCTCTCTCCCTCTCCCTCTCCCTCTCCCCTCCTCCCTCCCTCCCTTCCACTCTCTCTGAAAAGCAATGGAAAAAATGTCCTCAGCTGAGGATTAATAAAACAATAACAACAACAAATATTAGAATAGAAAAACTATAGGTAGAACAGAGATTAAAAAATAGAATACTCTGAAAAACTTTATGGTAATAAATTTGAAAATTTTAACCAAATTGACAAACTTTTAGAAAATGCACACTGACTTATATGCATAACTCATGGACACAGATGACAGTGTGGTGAAGGCCTGTGGGTGGGGCAGGACCTGGGTGGAGGTAGGCAAAGGAAGGGGAGATGGGGGGCATCTGTAATAGTGTCAACAAAAGGAAGGAAGGAAGGAAGGAAGGAAGGAAGGAAGGAAGGAAGGAAGGAAGGAAGGAAGGAAGAAAGAAAGAAAGAAAGGAAGGAAGGAAGGAAGGAAGGAAGGAAGGAAGGAAGGAAGGAAGGAAGGAAGGAAGGAAGAAAGAAAGAAAGAAAGAAAGAAAGAAACAGGAAAATGAATGAATGGATAATTAAAAATTTTCTCCAAAGGAACTTATTCCAAAAGCAAGAAGTATAACTTAAAACTAATAACACTGTATGAGATGAGACCATCACCAGTGTCACTTTTGAACACAAACACAAAAATTCCAAACCATAAAATAAAAATGCAGCAGAACAAATGATGTGACACTTTAAGGTCAATGTTATGGACCATGCATTTGTGTCCCCCAATAATTCATAGTGTTGGAACTTTAATCCCCAATGAGATGGTATTTGGAGGCAGGGCCTTTGGAAGATGATTAGGTCCAGATGACATAATGAGGGTAAGGCTCCATGATGGAATTAGCGTCCTTATAGGAAGAGAAAGAGACAC